CATGTTGCCCATTGTGATTGTGATTCAGTAAAATATTTAATTGCATTTATTGAAGTGGATTTGTTTCGAAAACTTTCAAGTCCCGAGTTAGTGCTTTATACTTTTACAATAAGTAGAGAAATACAGTGTTGCAATGTGTTCATTTAAAGGTCAGAAACAAGTAGGTAATGTGTTTCAGGATTGCATCCTGAATAAAATGCATCCAGTTCTATAATATCAAGATGAGCAGTTATATTTATTCCTTCTGTAATATCATTTTGTTTTGCCTTTTTTATTGGGATTGGAAGTTCTGATGTTTTCATGGATTCCATGACATCGTTTACTAGCCCCGATTTACACGCTTCTCTCTGCAAGGTCGTGTGTTTAAAGTGTGGTATGTTTCTTTTCTTTAGGTTATTGTGCCACATGGAGAAGCTATGACTGTCGGGACATTTTTGGCATGGAGAGAGAAGTTTGAGCAGAATTAGCACTTGAGAGAGCCAAGTGAGTTTTCATTTGTTTAATCCATTTGTTCGTTATATAATTTTAACTTGTGCTAGAACATGGTCTGAGAAGCATAGTGTCATATGGACTATGGAGGGAGTGTTTGCAGGTACTTCGAGAATTGTTAAGGAGCACAACAGAAGCTATTTGCTAAATGGTAATATTTATTTTTCTTTTGAATGTTTCTGTGTGAATCTAAAGAAATTGGGAACTTTAACTTGCTAAAAACATGAAAATCTGAAACCCTTAATCCTGGGCAAGTCGATCTTGCTGCAAAGTTTTTTTCTGAATGGGTCGTTCACGCTCCGCAGCTTGGGCCGCCGCTACTCAGGCCGCCGCTGATGCTCCTGCAACAGAGGTTTTTTTTGTCCTTAAAACGATCGTGTTGTATTTCTCTTTTTTTTTTTTACTGGCGTAAAGTCCATTTCCCTCCTCAAATCAACAAACTTGAACTGACATGTGCAAAATATTTGATTGTCGGAGTTGATTAGGGTTGTTTCATAATGAACTAAAGGAAATTGTCCTCCGGCAAAGGCTCTGGGTTGAGCATTTTTTCTCGATTAAAATTCGGCAATTTGAGCTCAATTGCGACTTTTATTAACATTTTTGGGTCAAGAGTGCTCTGAACAAAGAATTAATAAGCGTTTGTAGAAGTTGCTAATTCTGTTAATTTGAGCTTTATCAACATCGAGCTTGCATGGGGTTTGAGAAAGCTATGTAGAAAATGCACTCTAGCAGTTTTTTATATGCAAGCAATCATATGTAAAACATCCAAATTGAAGAAACATTTGACCCTAAAAGTACGTGTGTTTTCAATTTGTATTCATTTTTTAAGATACATTTATTTGTATTCATTGTCTAAAATGTTTTTTCTTTTCAGTCGGTTAAAGAGAAAAAGATCAACTAGAACATCACCGCCAAATCCCTGATTCTTAACACACATCCGCCGACATCGCCTCCGGTGGTTTACAGTCACTGTCACTGGCAAACTCGATGCCTTTTGCTGCACGTTGGAGCCTCTGTGCTTCCGGGTAGAAGCTTGCGGTTGGAGCTTCCCGAACAAAGTCCAAAGGAGTCTCTCGGTTTCAAGGTGCCCTATTTTGAGGTATGTCTGATCGAAAGTGATTGAAGAAAAAGACTATATTGCAATCTTCAAACCTAACATGTGAAGTTCTCATCTCCCCTCAATTTTTATTTTTATTTTTTGATTTTTTTGGGGGAGAAATTGGAGTATTTGTTTGGATTTATCTTTAAATTTTTGTTTCGTGTTTATTGGTTAAAGAAAAGTTGCAAGCTGAGGCAGTTTAACCAAATCACCAAAAAATTCGGTAGTTTCCCCAGCGGGAGGTCAAGCTTCTTGCTGACCTGTTCCCTTTTGAGTCTGTACTTGAGGATGAATGGTAACTTTGGTGAGTTCACCCTCGGCCTCACCCCTAAATCCTAAAGGTGCAATGCACATTTAGGGTTTAATTAAATTTGATTTCCTCTTTCAGTGAGGCTTTTATTGATCGATCTGTTATCTTTCATCTGGATTTTTTTTTTCTAATTTTGCTATCTGTTTCATTTTTGTTTTCTTTATCTATACCTGATAGATTAATTTGTTCAGCAGTTTTCATTGGCTTATGCAATCTGGTTTTTCTCTGTTCGTGTCCTGGTGACCTTGTTATATGGGGATGGAAGTTGAGATATTATTTTGTTTAACAATCTATTTTCCATTGTTCGTGTCCTGGTAACTTTTAGTATTAACGATTATCACAACTTTGTTAAGTTTGGCCTAGATTTATTTGTTTCATTCTTGTTCCGAGTTAGTGATTATTTCCGTAGGATGGGCTAATGGAAGTTGGATCAACTCCTTGCAGGTTTAATCCTAATTGCAGCTTTTTGGACATCTGTATCATCTCGATTGCTTCCTTGCGAACATATACCACCAATTTGAGTCCATTTATCAGAATGTCAACGGATTTATGAGCAAGGTATTGTCTTTCTTTTTATACTTGAGGAATAGTGTACTTGCACACGATTGTTTTTGAAAAAAGTTCTCAATCCAAAAGATTGGATTAACATTAAGAAAAAATATTTATATATATAATACAGATGTTCAATGAAAATAAAACTTCTGAAGCGGTAATGTAATATCCCGAGATTTTATCAGTATAAATTACGTTTAATTCCGATATAATAATGTTATCGTTTATTATTTTCGGAATTAATTAAGTTCAGTCGGGATTACCGAAATCTATTTTCGACGTATCGTTTACGTCCGAAATAATTTTGGTAATTAAGCATTATGTTTAATTAAATAATTAAACATCCATTGAGTGATTAATTTAATTAATCACCATAAGGAGTTAATTAGCCGTGACCTAAAGGTTTAAGTGTCATGACTTAAGAAATATTTCTCCCTTTTAGTAACTAAATGCCGTGAGATATATATATATATATGGTAAATTAGTTCAATCCTATGCTTAAGCCGTAGGGGGATTGAAAGTTTGGTTCCATTTCAATTAATTTCATTAAAACCGAACCTTTCTTAGCATGAGGAAACTTTTCTCCCTTTTCTAGTAATGCCACTTGTCAAGTAAAGGGGGGGATTAGTCATCAAAGGACTCATGAGATTCCAACAAGTGTTAAAGCCTAAAGAAGCCACACTACACCTATGTCACCACCATCTTTCCCCCATCGTCACTATATACAAGCTTTAGAAGACAAAATTTTCTCCACCTTTTCTTAGAGATTTATTCAGCAAACTACCCTCCCATCTATTGCATACTATCAGCAAGTAAGAAAGTCAAGTTCTCCCTATACCAAGCACGGAAAGAGACAAACATACGCACCACACGGTTCGCCGGAAGCTTCGTTCAGCTTGTAATTCCTTTGCGCACTTAAGAAGGTAAAGTGTTATGGACACCTTTTTCCTGTTAATGGGACTATTTAAGGATGAATAGTTCGGTGCATAGGCAAGGATTTCTTAGTTATGACGTAAGAAGGCTCGGTTTAGGCCATTTAGGCCAAGACCGAAATACGTTTATTTCAGTCCGACAAATTCTGAACAATTATCGTTCAATTAACCTTTATTCAGTTCCTCATGTTCAGTAAGTTCAGTTTTGTCAAGCAAAGTTGAAGTATTGTCGATGTCATGGCCTCAGCCGACACCCGCGCCTATCGCGCGTAGCCTCGGGTGGCTTCGGGCCGAAAGTTGTTGCCCTCAGTATAACCATGTTATCCGTGTGATTAAGTCCAAAAATTGTTCAGATAAATGTTCGTATTTAGTTATTCTGAAGTTGTTGGTTAATGTGTTATTTCGGCCGAGAGGCGGCACGTAGCCGTCGGCGGCGCGAGGGCGTTCGTCGCGGCCTTCCAGGTTCAAATATGCGATTGCTGTATCTTCAGGTCATATTTAATGTATATGTTCTTGTGAGACATGTTAAGTCAGTAAGGTTCAGAATTGGTCGCGTTACGTGCTATGTGGCCGAGGGATGGCCGAAGGCCGTGGGCCTCGCACGTAGCGAGCGCCACGGCCGAGTGATGGGTCCGATTAACAAGTTCAGTAATTTTTTGTTAAATTCAGTTTAATAATCATATTAAGTCATTAAGTGTTCAGTTAATTCAGTTCGGTCGGA